AGGGGTTCTTAAGGAGTCGTCACCAATGTTTTAACCATAAACATTGGAAAAGGATAAAAAGAAGGCGTTGGTTATAAGAAAACCAACTTTGATCATTATAGCCAGAGTTGGATAAGGGAGTTAGTTACGTATGGGGAAGGTGTTAGCACCCCACAACGTCCCTTTCGGTTTCCCTATGATGGATTAACTCAAAAATAAAGATACAAAAATTATGTTTCTACCCTATTTATTTATCTACGTGTAGTAATTAAATATCTAAATTACCCTAACTTCTAATGCACACAAAGGAAAACGATAAAAGGAAAGTGATAAAAGAGAAGGAATAGAAAAGGAACCTCCGAAGTGAGCTTTTATAAATATCTAAACTTGAGGACGCTTTTTGTCAGTCCCCTCCCTTTATAAGAGCACTCCTCCCCCGAACAATAAAATTATTATACTACCGAGCGCCAGATGTCTCAAAAAGAGACTTCCTTAATCAATTTAATCCAATAATTAGAAAGACTACTTGGACTCTGAAACAAAGAAAAAAATTCCCGGAAAAGTTTCAGAGTAGGAGAGAGAAGAGAGCACTCTCAGCCAGGTGTCTAGAAATGGGAGAAATGAGCTCCTATATATAAGCTCACGTATCTAGGAGGTCGGAACGGCCGTCCCGAATTTTGTCAGGTGGGACAACCGTTTGGAATTTGGGATGGTCGTCCCAGGCTACAAAAAGGGGTGAGACAGCCGTCTGATATTTGGGACGACCGTCCAGGCCACCAAGGGGGTTGGGACGACCATTTGGAATCTGGGACAACCATCCCAGCCTTCTGACAAAAATCCTAATTTTTATTTTCTAAGAAAACCCTCCTTTTCTTAAATGGAGTCTAAAACACACTACTAGGGGCCTAATGAAGCCTTGTCCATCTTCGGAACGAAGAATTTCTGAATTTTATTGCGAGGCGGGGCAGGATTTGGTGTATACAACCATCTTTTCATTACATGCATGCATACTTTTTTCTTTTTTTTCTTTTTTCTTTTGCTTGGAAGTGCAAAAGAGCAAAAGTGGAGAATATTTGATGTGTGTAGTTTCACTTTTTATTTCTTGATCTAAGAGCATTTTTTAAGCTAATTATTTTCTTCATAAACCATGCATTTAACATGTTTTCATAGAAAACAAAACATATTTCAATTTTACCTAATTTGTTGTATTTTGCATAGTTTTAGTATCAAAACATATATTCATATATCTACAATGCATATTTCTCTTTTATTTTTAGGAGAAAAGTAATTTGAGATAGGTAAAATTGATGGAAATAAAGGCTCAAATTCATAGCAAGAATCATGTGTAGTCAAGTTTCACTCTTCTCGAAAGTCCAAGTTTGCTTGTGCAGCTCACTTGCGCATGTATGTTACTTTTGTTGGAATCAACTTAAGTTGAATTAAAGGTCACAAAAATCTAAGAATTAAATGCAAATTAGTGTTGACCTTGTAAAATACGAAAGAAGCGAATTTCTCCAAATCAATCCCCAGAATTTCTCACCGTTAACAATAATTTAGTGTTGCAGTTTTCAATTGAGAAAATATTTGATTTTATTGTAATTAATTTCATACTTATTTTCTCTTGTTCAGTCCCTTATAAATAGAGGCCTGATAAGAACAAAAACACAAAATCACCTTCGTCGGGGCGAGATTTGTTATTTTGTCTTGTCCCAATTTTCTTCTCTCCAATTTTCGTTCCCAGTATTTTTTTAGTTTAATTTTTAATTTGACGAGATTAGTAAGGATTTACTACAACTTTTTGGATTGTTCATTGTTCTTTTATTTAATTTGTAATTTCTCTTAAATTTTCAATTTTAAATTGTTGAGTTTGCTTTATTCATCCCACACTCAGTTTAATTTCTATTCTCTACTTGTTTAACAATCTTATTTAATTATAGTATTTAATTTGCTTCATTTTCTATTCCAATTAAAATTTTATTTTATTCACGCATTTTCACTCACACACATATTTTAATTTTTGGATCCATTGTTTTTTTTTATTGATCAATTTTCTTTCTTCTTCTTTACTTAGTTGTGCATGCAATTCCTAATTTAATTTTGGACTTATTTCTTCTTGAAAATTTAAATTTAATTAATGTACTCTTTAATTTTAAAGTAATTTTTTATTGTGTACTTTATTCCAACAAGTTTTGAATTTAATTAAAAACACTCAATTTTATTTTTTATAATATTTAGTAATTTAAATATGTGTTGTTCTCGCTTCAATTTAATTTTGTGTTATTTTACTTCAATTTATTTTTTACTTTTTATTTTTATTAGTCTATTTCCTTATTTATTTATTTATTTATTACTACCACTACTACAAAATATGTTTTCAACGTCGGTTAAAGTTGAGCGAACGTCGCCATTTAACGTCGGTTAAAGCTGAGCCGACGTTAAATACACTTTCAACGTGGTTAAAAAACGACGTTGAAAGTTGAATGTTGTACACATTCTACGTCGGTTCATAGAACCGACGTTGAAAGTCTTTTAATTTACACATTCAACGTCGGTTCATCTGGGAACCAACGTTGAATGTGTTTTCACCCAAAAATTCTCTTAAGTTAAAGAATTGTCATCGACAGGATTCGAACCCGAGTATTTTAAAGTTGAAAGTCAATACTCCAACCACTAAACTACTATAATTTTTTGATAATAATTTACAAATTAATTATATTTATATACAAATAAATATATATCTATGTAAATATATATTTATTTATATATATTTTCTGGAAAGTGTTTTTATTTTTTTCAACCAAAAATTTATTTAAGTTAGGGAATTGTCACGGACAAGATTTGAACCCAGTATTTTAGAGTTGAAAGTTGATACTCCAACCACTAAACTACTCGTAATTTTCTAATAGTAACTTACAAATAAATTATATTTATATACAAATAAATATATATCTGTGTAAATATATATTTATTTATATATTTTTTCTGGAAAGTGTTTTTATTTTTTTTAGTCAAAAATTCACTTAAGTTAGAGAATTGTCACTCGACAAGATTCAAATCCAAGTATTTTAGAGTTGAAAATTGATACTCCAACCACTAAATTACTATAATTTTTTTATAATAATTTACAAATAAATTATATTTATATACAAATAAATATATATCCATGTAAATGTATAAATATAGAATATATAAATACAAATATATTTATATATTTTGATATATTTATATATATATATATATATATATATATATTTATATTTATATAGTTATATATTTATATGTTGGATGTGAGGGCGCGTTCGAGGGTGAAAGTGAGATTGACTCTCGCTTAAGTGAAAATACGTTAAAAATCACGGAAATTCACTCGCTCAAGCCTCGCTTGAGCGAAAATTAGTATTTTTCGTTTGAGCGAATGATGCGTTTCCCAAATTTATTTTATATCATTATATAAATAAATTATAAATATTATATTCTGTCATTAAATTACAAACCCATATAAAGAGACTCGCTCACAAATTTGACATCAAATTTTGAAAACCCACTCGACACACACTTTCACCTTCGAGCGTGCCTTCACATCCAATATATAAATATATCAAAATATATAAATATATTTGTATTTATATATTTATATATTTACATGGATATATGTATATATATATATATATATATTTGTATATAAATATAATTTATTTGTAAGTTACTATCAAAAAATTCGAGTAGTTTAGTGGTTAGAGTATCAGCCTCCAATACTAAGGTATTGGGTTCGAATCCTGACAGTGACAAAAAATTAATTTGGTAATGCTCTAAACCTCAAAAAAATATGATAAATAATAAAAATATAATATAAAAGAGGGAATAGAACCGACGTTGAAAGTCCTAATACACCGTTGAAGGCCTTCCAGATCAGCTCATGGTTTTTTAGTTGTTCCTCCCTGTATCTATCTATAAATGCTTCAGTATTGTCAAATTGAGGACTATACACACTGAACTATATAACTCTTGTGAGTAGCGCGACAATTCCTGCTCTAGTGTTATTGTTTTTGTCTTCTTCTTTTTTTTACTTTGTCAATCTAATATTTTTGTTATAGCACATGTAGTTTGTTACCTTCTTGCTTTACGTGTGATCTGGAGTGAACATTTCCTTTCTTGTGATGGCATTCTTCTGACAATGAAAAAGAATGTTTGAACAATTCCATGAATGTATTATACAAAAGATTATGATCGTTTATTTATCTTGAAGGTTCAAAGCTTGTTGGAAAGTTTTAGTGAAAGATATGTATCACTAAATACTCATCATACATTATAAAAACTGGTGACAAAATTATGGTAGCTCCAGTGATTATCATTGAATTGGAGTTAAATGGTAGTTTTGGTTTATCATGTTGTGGCCGTATATCCAAGATAAGAATAGCATTTCATTTTCATTTGTAGCTTGTAAAGGTATCTCCAGATAAATATTTCTTTCGTAAAATTTGAAGTTACTTTCTCATTATTAGAACTGAGTGATCTTTATAAAGATTCCTTTTTGGGAAGAGTTGACAGATGTTCTGAAATATTATATCTAATTCATTCACACACTTTTATTTGCTTGGTTGACGTGCTGCATAGGGGTGGGTGACTTCAACTATCAAAAAGAAAGATATGTATTTTTAAATACTTTTTGGGTCTTACGATTAGTCTCACTCATAAGATTCCCCAAATTCAACTTATTTAAACTTTAAAAGAATAACAAATTAACTTGAAATAAAAGGACTTTTTTTTTTCTTCTTGAAAAAGATAATTTTTGAACTTTAGCCTACATAGGATACAACTCTGTCGTTTCTCTGTTTCTTATCTTTTGACGCACATGTGGAATCTTCCTTTTGTGCCACTACACCACAATCAACATCTAAAAATATTTGCCCTAACTATCCAAGGAATTTAGTTCAAATGTCAGAACACCATCCACTACCACTACCACTTATCTCAAAGTCTACAGAACAAAGCCCTTGAAACAGAGAAGAGAGGTTGCCCTAATTTCATTTCTGAAACTCAAGGATAGTGTAGAAATGGTCAACATGGAAGGCTCTGAAACGTGGGAAACCTGCATCAACGGCTAACTGTCTGAACTGTTCTTCAGTCCTGTGCTTCCCCTTGGCTCTGTAGATTGTCATCACAAAAATGTCACCCTCAAGCAACGCCCTTGTTCTGTGAGTCTCATCTGAGTGCTCTGGCAGCACTGGCTCACAAGCTATTAGTTTCCCTCCCTCAGGAAGTGCCTTGTGACAGTTCTGCATTATCTGCTTTATTTCCTCGTCCGTCCATGTTGTTAGCACCCACTGGCAAACAATGCTCAACACATTATGGAACAAAACTATGACAGATGTGATAAATATACACCAATATACACAGTATCCATACACAGATTCTTCCCATATGAACAAAGAATATCTATAACCACTGCACCAATTCATCGGAATATTCTTACTCTTTTTATTCATAATTCGTGTTAGGTAAGGAAAAAACTTAAAGTGCTTTTTGAACTTTCAGTGCAATCTCTAGTAAGTTAGTAACTATTCTTGGGTTGTCTAAAAAAAATCCACAGTTACATTTATTGAAAGGAAAGGTACAACTTTATTATACAAGCGCCATCTCAAACAGGAGACGCCCCCATTTTAGTTTCATTGGCAATGGCAATGAAGTTTTTGGTCCCGCTGATGATCTTAGGAGAAGTATAGATTCACAAAAAAAATCATAATTGGTCATAATCAAATCCAACACATTAGTATTTTCCTACCCTACTATGGAAGGATCCTCTATATTAATAAATTATATAATGGAAACTCACCTTAATGAAAAGTAAGAGTCATATATTAATAAATTATATAATGGAAATTCACCTTAATGAAAAGTAAGAGTTATCAGTTACATCAGAAATATGTGATGACTATTGATTGCCTGTTCCTAATGACTTTAGTATCTTAACAACCATTTTTTTTAAGTTAAAAAACTTTAATATTATGCACATAATAAATATACAGAAATTGTATCACTTTTCTATATTATAAACACTTTATTACTATTTATAATTTTTCTATTTTTTTCTGCCTCATTATATGTGCCTTCGATACAGTTTTTGTTTTTGTTTTAAAAGAATAGTTTCCTTTTAAAAATTAATCATTTGTTGTAGTTTACAGTTATTTGTTTTAGTTTTTCAAAATAATCAGAAACTGAAAATATAATATGAAATCACATTAAAATCATAAATCGACTGTCTTTTTTCTTTAAATTTTGATAATAAATAAAAAATAATCATTAAATTATTTTTTAAAATTACTCATAAAACTATCACTGTATTACTAAATTTAGTAATCACTAACTTATTTTTAAATTTTTTTATTTATTTCTAAAAAACACTAAATTATTTTACACTAAAAATACTTTATTTTAATCTAAGCAAACTTGCTCTATTATAAATTACGATTCTTATATTTATTTTTATCAAATAAATAAGACGAGTATACATACATAATTTTCCACAATATATTGAGGGTTAAGCCCTCTTCGCAATTCTATAATATTGAAACAAATGATAAAAGTCAATTTATTATAAAATCATATAAAACTAGTATACTCAAAATTTCAGGATTTATATGTTTATTGTTTTTAAAAATATTACCAGTTTTTTAGTGTTTAAAATTCAAAAAACTTATTTAACAATAACTTTGTTAAAATAATTATTTTTATTTTAAAAAATTTTAAAACTAGAAACCAAACAATAATAAAATATTATTATTGATGTTAATTTTCTTCTATTTTTTTAAAATTATAATTATTAAATAATTTTCTTAAATTATTTTTAAAAATTAATTTATAAAATTATTTAAGAAACTAAATCAAACAAATTCTTATCTTTCACTTACCAATATTATACAGTATTATATAAAAGAAAGAGGACAAATTACATCTAAACCAAGAATTCTATAAATACTTTATATTTATTTTTCATATGATTCTAATCAAGTAAGAGAATAATGTTTTTGGTACAATTTTGTTTTGGCTAGTCCAGAATAGTCAAAATGGTTTTTCCTTTTTGAGGGTTTTTTTTTGGCAACCCAATCAGATACGTCACCGGCATTGGCCTGATCTAATATCAGCCACGAAAATCGAATGTGTTTAATAATGTTACTGGCAATTGATTAAAATAATTTATGTATAATTTTTAAAATAATTATTACATAAGTTAATAATTTTTAAATATATAATCACTTATGACTAAATAATAATTAATTTAAATTCAAATAAAAATATATTTTGAGCAATTTAAATGCAGTAACATCTTATTAATGATGGTTTTAATCAAATTCAAATAATTAGTGAAAATTCAATTAGGATAAAATTAACCTCTAGACAAAAAATTCTAGAAAGCAACATCTGTGGTATATGGAAAAGTAGTAAGACTCACCTTCATAAAGATAGCATCTCCTTGGGGAATAGATTTGAACATGTCACCACCCACATGGCTGACACCTACAAAGGATGAGATAGATGACGATATCATTCAGATGTGAGAACCAAGATCAGATCTCGAAAAATAAAAAGCTAACAGCGACTCACATCGAGTTGGTGGTGCTTTGGCAACAACTTCGGGGAGGTCGAAGTTGATCCCTTCTTTGATGGTGGGGTGTTTGTGCAAGATCATGCGGAGGCAGTCACCGCCACTACCGCCGACGTCGACGAGCCTCTCCACACCCTGGAAGCCATCGTAGCCCTCCAACATGGCCGTCATGAAGGGCACTGACACCCCTGCCATGGCCCTCAACATTAGCTCGTTCATCTCTGGTTGCTTCAGGTAGTACCCGTACGCTCCCTCTCCGTTCGCCCTCTCGAAGGGCTCCTTCGTAGGGTCTACCACTGCCTCGTGCACCAACTGCCACGCCCTCATCAACGCATCCTATCGTCAAAACAATAACATCACTCTCATAAGATTAGAATAGCAAAACGGACCACCTTTAATAAATAGAATGAGACAAATAGGTCCGTCATCTCAAAACGAGCTACGAAACTAATTTACATGTGAAAGCTACGAATCTAGTCTACAAGAAAGGATTGACATTCACATGGATCAAATTATCAATTTTTTTTTATATATATTAAAAAAATTAATTGTATAAATAAATTTTAAACTTTTTTATTAATTAATATTTTTATTAAATAAATTTAAAAATTTATATATTTATATATTAAAATATTTATTTATAATTAATAATTTATATTTAATGAATTAATATTTATAATTTAAATTATAAGATTAAAATATAATTATATATCTCGTCAATATAACATTAAAATATTATATTTTTAATTATAATTTTATTATTTTAATATATAAATATTTCAACGTATTAAAAGGGATGACGGTTCATGATATGTCAGATTCATAGATTAATTAAAATTACTAATCGGTCGTAAATTTTAAATCTGACCAATTCACCAATTTATCATTTACTTTGAGATGAAATTGTATAATTTTATTTTAATCCATAATTAATATTTTTATATTATCTTTAAAAAAAGTGTATGTAAATTTGTAAATAAATTTCATCAATGAATACTTTTGTTGATTATAACTAATAAATTATTTCAAGTAATTTAGAAACAAAATATTAAAATAATAATGTTATTATTTAAAAAAAATAATAATAATAATATATTTAAAATAATAAAATTAATATTTTCATTTTGTTTAATTGAAAGAAGTATTTCTTAAAAATATTAAAACTCTTTCTAAAATTAATTTTTAAGGATGCTTTGACTAAAACTCAAGCCCATAATAAATTAGTCGAGAGAAAAAAATCTTCGGATAAAAATTGTTAATCTCACCTGGTGGTGTTGGAGCACGTAAGCCCCGTAGGAGAGACCTTGCTCATCGGTGACGAGCGTTTTGCCGACGTCGGTGAGGGAGTACTTGCGTTCGCCGTCGGCGAGGTGCTCGCGGAAGACGCCGTAGCTGGTGAGGATGCGGAGGAGGCGCTGGAGGTTCTCGGCGTCGCCAACGCCGGCCGGGAGGAGGCGGGGGAGGATCTGGGCGGCTGAGAGTGGTGCGTTGGCGCCGGCGTTCCAGATGGCGTCGGCGACGTTGAGGCGAACGACGGCGTTTAGGGCCATCGGAACGCTTATCATGTTGGCGAGTTCCATGATGGCGAGCCTCGCTTGCTTTCGCAAATCCGTGCCTTCCTCTTCCATCTTTTCTTCTTTCTTATTCCAACGATTGGATTTGATTTCGTGTTTGAAATGTGTGGAAGTGGAAGGGATGCGGAAGGGATTTATAGAAGCTTGTGGGGAGTATGAATGCAGTGAATCTACCTAACAGGTGTGAGTAAAAAAGAAAAAAATTAAAAAGCTGAGTTTGCGAGGACGGCAACAAAGATAATGTATAACTACCTTTTAGAATGAGTGCTAATTTTATTTTTAGTTAAAAAAATTAAAAATAAATATGTAATTTTTAAAAATAGTATTAAATTTTAATAAAATTATTTTTATGAATGATGATACATTTTTTATTAATATTTAAATTAAATTAAAATATTTTAGTAAAAGTGAAAAATATAAATTAGTATAATTTCTTTAAAAATTATAATTATAATTATTTTAAGATGGAAAAAGTAATTCATCAAAGTTGTTATATTTTGTGCCGATTATCAACTTCCTTTTTCTCTATTTACTTTAAATATTTTAATTAATAATTATGTTCTGAAATAAAATAAAAAAAAGAGTTATGTACTACAAAAAGTTATCCTGACAAATATAAATATCCTTACTCCACGTGATATTCTTTTTTATTTTATTTTTTAATTTATTTGAAAGAACTACACTCAACTGTATACATAGCGTGTAATTATTTAACCACGATATTATTTGAATTAAAGAAAAGTTTATGAAAAATAAAAAAAAATTATAAGTAATATAATTTATTTAATATATTAAAAAATTAATGAATAAAATTATAAAATTATAATTTTATTTTTATCTTAAAAAATATTTTAAAATAAAATGTAAATAATATTAAAATTTTATGTGAATTATTATTTAAAATATAAAAATTTAAATATATGAAATTATATTAAAATAAAATGTAATAAGTTAAAATAAATATGAAATAAATTTTGGATAATCACTTTAAATAAAATAAAATTATTTTAAATTAAATATAAAATAAATTTAAATTGAAATGATAGTAATTTGTTAAAAAAAATATGTAATAATTTGATGAAAATAAACAATTGTTCATAATAGAAATAATTAGAAAGTTAAAAGAAACAAATATTAAAAATTAATTTTCATAAATCGGTAGTAAAATATCATAATAAACAAACGAGGAGTAAATAAATAAATGATAAAAATTATTGAAAAAAGTCCTAAAAGTTGTAATTATTCTTTCAAATGGTTTAAGTCCATTAATCACCATGTCGAAATCTTTATTAATATTTAGATTCAAATTAGTTGAATCATCTTCTATCCACTGCATTTTTGTTTATGTGTACTTAATACCTCTAAATTTGTGTTAACATTAGACCATCACTGAAGCTGCATATGAAAGTGATGAAAATCTTATTGAATCTTATGATAGAATAAAGATCTTGAAGATTTGATGAAGTCAAAGATTCCTTCGATTAAAGGGTAGAGTGATTAATGAGTTTGTATCAATATTAATAGGCATAATCATTCATTATTCTCTGTGCATGAGGGTTTATCATTTGAAAGAATTTGAAAATGTCTCTAAGCGTTTTAATCCGTTAAAAACTAGTTTAATCGATTAATATATTCTTAAGAATAAATATTCAATTGATATATTTAAAGATTAATCAATTAAAATCAGCTAGGAACATTCATGACAGAGTTTTAACACATGTATTTTCACAATAATCGATTAAAACCACTTAAAACATTTACTATCACTATTTTAATCGATACACATTCAAATTAATCGATTATTTTCATTAAATAAGTATTTGAAAACCTTACGTCGAGTATTTTAACTTATATAAATTCGAATTGATCGATTAAAATCACTTGAAATGCTTTGAAAAGTGTTATGTCGGTATTTTAATCAATGTAACTTCAAATTAATCGATTAAAATCACTTGAGATGTTTTGAAAAGTGTTCTACTAGAATTTTTATCGATGTAATATCGAATTAAGCGATTAAAACAACTTAAGGAAATTTTTATCAAATGTTGTAATCGATTAATCCAGGCTTTCATCGGTTAAAATCACTTATGAAGTTTTGAGAAAATGTTTGGCGGAATTATAATCGATTAAACCGCGAATAAATCGATTAAAATAACTTAGAGAATTTTTGTATAACTATTTTAATCGATTAAAACATTGTCGCATCAGTTAAAATAAATCTAGAAAATAGTAAAACACATTTTAACCGATTAAAAAAAGTTTTAATCGATTAATCAAGAAATAATAATCTATTAAAAGAAAGTTTCAATCGATTAATTAAACTAGTTAGTTGGAAAATGACTCTATATAACACAAGATTGCTTCAGCGTTTTAAAACACACATTTGAGTAATCAAACAAGCAATCAATAGAGAGATTTTCAAGAAAGAAGTGCATGCACGAGGTGTTGTGGAGTTTTTCAAAGTTCTTTCTTGAGGCATTTTTGCATTCTTACTTGTGAAGAAACTTATTCTGCAAGAGCAGCATAATCCGGGTTTGATTGTTCAAGTTTATTCTCTTTGTTCTTTTCAATTCTTTACTGTATTGTGGGTGTGTGGAAGTGTTGGGCACTGGTTCTGTAGCTGGAATTTGGCTACAGGTTGGTTCAAGAACTGAAACTTGGTTCTTGGTGAAGGTTTGGTGCAAGAACTGAAATTTGGTTCTTGGTGTGAATTGGGTGTTTTGTGATTCGGGTTTCTAATCAGAAAAATAATCAATCTAGTGAAACTCAAATGGAATTTGATTGAGAACTGGATGTAGCCTTGTGGTTTGGGTGAACCAGTATAAATCTTGTGTGTCTTTCTTTAAACCTTTACTCTCTTTTATTCTTCTTGTGACTTACATAGAACTACTTGTTTTTCTTGGTTCAAAACTTGATCAGAATTCATAATATTTGAAATAGATAATCTATATTCTTAAAAGTACGAAAAATTTTCAAAGATCAACTCACCCCCCCTCTTGATCTCAGTCTACATTTCGAATAATTGGTATCAGAGCAGGGTCTTGAAAATCACTCAAGACTTTCGGTCCAAATTTTTTCAATGACTGAAAACAAATTACCTTTTTCTGAGGGTGCTTCTATAAATAGACCTCCACTGTTTTATGGTACAAATTTGTTAGAATCGCGCAACGGAATGTTCGCGTTTAGGGACAAAAACCAAGAGGGGGGGTGAATTGGTTTCTTAAACAAAAATTAGGGTTTTGAAATTTTTCCCAAATTCACCGATTAAAATACTTTGTAAAGTAAATAGATAAGGGAAAGAAGATTACACAGTTGATTTATACTGGTTCGGATCAAAAGATCCTACATCTAGTTGTTAATCACTCAAAAAGAGGATTAACGTTGTCACTATAATCATAGTTTACAACAGATTACAAATTGAAAAAGATAAAGAATAGAAAACACCTCTCTTGGGTCACACAAGAGATGAACATCTCCTTTGAATCCACAAAGGATGAACAACAACTTTTCCTAGAGATGACACAACACACAATCCACCAAGAAACCCACTCAGTGATTCTTATTACTTGTAGACCCCTAATCTTGTCCGGCCTCAAAATAAAGACTAGAATACCTCCTTTTCGAAGATGGATGAAGCCTAAGAAGCCACTAGGAGAGACTATTAGGCCCCATACTAGGATAGGAGGGATTTTTAGCACAAAAATAAGGATTTTCACCTTTTAAGGTCGAGACCGCCGTCCCAGATTCGGGACCACCATCTCACCTTGCGCAAATGGCGAGATGGTCATCTCACCACTCGCGAATGGCGAGACCGCCATCTCGATTGGCGAGACCGCCGTCTCGACCTTGTCAGACGAGACGAACCATCTCGACCTGACAGGCGCGAATTCCTATAAATAGGGCCCCCATTCCCCTCATTCCACACGGTTCTTCCTCCTTCTCTCTATACTTTTCTTCAAATTCTCTCTCTAGAACCCCTCTGAAGCATTTTCGGAGTTTCTAAGCGTTTCTAAGAGTGTTTTTGAGTGTTTCGAGAGGTTTCCGACGCTGTGTAGAGTGAAGGGTTGCCGCAAAGCACCCTATTTTTAGAAAGAATTAATAGAAAGCGTGCCACGGAGGTTTCTACACTCTCTCTCTCTCTCTCTTTTACCGCTTTATTTCAATTATGCAATAGATATAGGGTCATGTAGTCATAATTTTAAAATCCGCAAATAAAAGGGTAAAAGCGTATTTTTCACCAGTTTAATTATTTTTAAATAGCTGGCCTATCATAGGGAACCCGAAAGGGGCGTCGTAAAGGAACTAACACTTCCTTTACACGTAACTAACTCCCTTACCCAACTCTGGTTCTAATGACCAAAGTTGGTTTTTCGAAAACCAACGCCATCTTGATAAACTGATTTCTAAAGATTTAGTCTCTGGGCTACCTAAGCTTCAAATTCTGAAAGACAAAATCTGTGAAGCTTGTTTAAAAGGTAAACAAACTAGAAAATCCTTTTTCAAACAAAAACATTGTTTCTACTTCTAGACCTTTGGAACTGCTTCACATGGATTTGGTTAGTCCTTCAAGAAATAAAAGCCTAGGTGGTAATCTCTATATCATGGTAATTGTTGATGATTTTTCCAGATTTACGTGGACTATATTTCTAAAAGCCAAATCTGATTCTTTCAAATCTTTTAAAAATCTTGCCAAGGTTTTACATAATGAGAAAGGTTATGTCATTACTTCTATTCAAAGTGACAATGGTGGAGAATTTGTAAATGAAAAGTTTGAATTATTCTGTGAAAAGTATGGCATAAAGCACAATTTTTCTGCTCCAAGAACTCCTCAACAGAATGGTGTTGTGGAAAAAAAGAACAGATCCATTGTGGAACTGGCTAGAACAATGCTTTGTGAAAATGCCTTACCTAAATACCTTTGGGCAGATGCTGTAAACACAACTTGTCATGTTCTGAATAGAGTTTAGTTTTGATTAGACTCATTCTTAAGAAAACCCCATATGAACTTTACAAAGGAAGAAAACCCAACATAAACTATTTCAGGGTTTTTGGAT